ATATTTTAAAATATTGCCAGAGGTTGATAGAATTTGTGACTGGATTCTTGATTTTAAAAGTGCTTTGTAATTTTGCATATTTAATATAAATTAAATAATACCCTAAACAATGCTAGTAGAAGAATTTGCAATTGAAGTATTGTCCATTCTTAGTTTGTTGTGTTTCTTGTTTGTTCCCAGAAGTTTCTTTGATATGTTATTTAGACATTTAACAAAAGTCACGCCTCTTTTACAACCTATTTGCCACTTCACAGGTGTTATTATTACTCTATGATGATAGAGTCCCAGTATTTAGTATGGTTGTAGATAATTTGGGAATGTCATATTTGTTTACAGTTCATTGTTTACAGTTCATCCATTTGGTCTCAATCAGTGATACAACTATAAGAGAAGCATAAACTATTAGATAGGTTGCTGAGGCTGAAATGTGGAACACCATCTCATAATCACCTAACTTAATTATGTGTTCCATAAACCTTCTTGAGTCAAATGATTAATAATTTCACAGAACTGGGTATTTATAAGAAAATAGCAATAGATGACAAAAACCAACATCTAATTGCTTTTTCTCTCTGACCAACTTAACTTCCAGGATTATCATAATGTTTGTCATTTTAAAAACATGAGAGAATATTATATCTTGAATTTATCATTGATCTATTCATGTAAAATGTTCCTCTCAACTTTTCAAATACCCACAGCTAGAATTAACATTTTGAACTACCTACTCATATTACAATGCTTCTTAAGCAGTGCTATTAAAGATGTATAGAATATTTTAAGGATGGATTGCCATTAGTATTTGATGCCTATAGTGTGCCACACTATAAGAATTGTCTTGATTTCTCATGTAACCTCTTTCCCTAAATTTACTTTCATTTTTTTGCTTAATAGATTAAACCTATGGATTTGTTTTTTATATATTTTACCTAGTTGTTTTCTTTAATTGAAGTCTTTCTGCTATTTAAATTTTACCAATTTTACCTTCACCCTGTTTACTTTCTGATGCTGAAAAGTATCAGTTGAATAGCAATAACAATAGCACTTACAGACTTACATACTGCTTCATAGTGCCTTACAGCCCTCTCTAAGAGATTTACAGAGTCTGCATATTGCCCCCAACAATCTGGGTCCTCAGGTTATCCACCTCATTCAGCATTGAACTGCTAGAAGTGAGCAGAGTCAGCCTGCAATACTTCATTCTAACCACTGCACCACCACAGCTCTTATCATATTTTATACGGTAATATATAATATTATATTACTCATATCTTTTCTGTTCATTAGGGATTTGAAGTATCAAAGTTTAAACATTTTCATATGAGAAATCACCCTGTTTGTGTTAGGTGACATGTTACCTAAAGATATTTTCTTCATTTTCAGTTATCCATGACATGAACATATTCCAGCAATCTTTTTTCTTTTCTTTTCATGGCATTGTGTTCATCTTGTTCCATACCTGAGATAGTTAAAGTTGCCCTCAGCTGTTCCTTGACAAAATAATACTTCCTTCTTTAAGCAGACAACAAGCTGTGGCAATTTGGTTGTGGAGTACAATCTGATATGTTTCATCAACTGAGTTCTTTTGGTAGGACTATCAAAAGATACTTATCAGCATGGCATCTATTGGACACTTTAGGGTGGTATGGAGTATATGCCTTTTCTCTCTAGCTTTTGGTGTAATTTCAGAGCTATACGACATTGGGCAGTAGGAAAGTGCGTCTATCAAATTGGGCTCTCTCCTTTACATCCTTGGGCGGGGAGGGGAGAACCCAGCTTCAAAGCTTGGATGAGTATAACTAGCAGCGAAGCAGCAGTGAAAGCAGAAAAGTTTCAGAACGATGCCAGATAGGCAAGAAAGAGATAGGTTCCCAGTCATGCTTTTTCGTGAAACTTCTCCAGTGCCTGTCAACTTTTGTTTGGGCTGCTCTTGAACATGAGTGTAGTACTGTTCAGGAAGAGCACTGAAGCCATGTCAAAAAGGAAAGCAAATATCAGTTGATAGTCAAACTCCCTTTGAATGGTGCTTATGCAAAATATATGTGCATAATCAGAGCAAATTTCAATAAAAAACTAAACCTACCATTCTTACTTTCCCCTCAAGGCCTAGCACCATCCCATGTTAAGGATAGAATTTGGTAAACAATTTTATGTCAACTGGAGATATAATGGAAGGGAAAAGAACTTCTTTCGGTCTCCATTTTAAAATGTCCAACATGTCATAAAGCAAACACTGTTTGCAGATGTTGCGTTTGTTCCAGGTTAGGTATTGGCTAGAATAGGGGGGCAGCAAATTTTATGTCAGGACAGGCATACAGTACTTCGACTTTGTCAAAAGAAAGAACCCAAATCTGACCTGGGGACACAAGCAAAATGCAAAAAGAAATCACCAATTAAGAATAAATCAAATTATCTGAATGGTAAAATATATAGTATTAAACTATCATTTGATTTAAAAAATGGGAAATTGAAATTTTTTATTTGGTGACTTGTAAAAGCTTTCACTAAGAAGGCTTGCAGGAAAGCAAGGGCCAGGTGAAAGAAAAATCCTGAAAATAACCCAGAAAATGTGTGGAAAATTATTTTTTCTTTTTTACTGTTGCTGCTACTACTATAACACCATTCTTTGAGTTTTTTCTGAAATAGTTAAAAGAAATGAAAAGATCATTATAAAATGTTTCCTAAAAGATTCTTTGCAAATTAAGATAAAAATGTGTTCTGCTTGGAAATACATCAAATTAACAAAATACAGCATTAACATTACTTATTTATTTATTTATTAATAACATAATTAACAAATTAACAAACCATGAAAGGAGAGTGAAGCTTACTTCAGACAAAATAGATTTACATGACATGCTAAAAGTTTTTAAAAGGCTCAGAAGTTAAATTGCTGGTAGCATTTTAGATTCAGAAAAACTGAAATATTAGCTATCACTTTATATAGCAAATATTATTCCCTTTTTCTCAGCTTGCTTTGCCTTTAAAATGCATGGTTTTGTATCAGTGGTATATCAGGAAACAAAGTCCACAGTATATAACATTTTTCTTTTAGTGTTTCAATTCCTTGTTTTCAGATGAGTTATTTGGTGTCTTTTTTTGTGCAACTTGCTATAATAAAATATGCTAAATTCCTAGAATTGCTAGTTTAAGTTGCAACAAAAAATTAAAAAATGTAAAGAAAATCAAATCAATAAATGTATAATTATTGCAATTATATTTTTTGGTTTTATTTACTAAGAATATTTTATCTATTTTGCAAAGAATGACTTTATAACTGAAGAATTCTTCCAAACTATTTTTTGCTCAAATTTGAGAAAAAAATTATTGTTGCCGAAATTTCTAAAAATGTTGTATTTCTAGTTTAATCCTATGCAATATTTTATCTCCAACATTACCTTATATAATTTTTAGTATCGTATAAAATGTTCTTGAATTTTTAATACAGGTCTTACAATAAAAATAAAAATGTAATATTTCTGCAGGGTGGTGGTTTGGTAATGTTATAGAATAATTACCTCTTCCTTCTATTAAGATTGAATTTTATTTTTATTTGTTACCCTTGTTTTTTTATGGCTATAATTACATAATGCAGTTTAGATGCCCAGAACCCAGCTGGGTGTTTTATCATGTCTTCTCTTTTAATAGTTATCTTCAAGGATATTATTTGAATTCCTCAGCTAGAATACAGTCCTTGGGCTACAACAGCAGTTAGCAGCAGAATTTGTGTCACTAAGTGACATGGTCAAAAGGGCAATGTCACATGACCACACTGTTTAGCTATGGCAATTGCGGCATTCCTGGTGGCCGCCATTAAGCAAGGACCACTCATGACTGCAATGTTCAACTTCCTGACAGCATTCCCATTGATTTAGCTTGTGGGGAGCCAGCTGGAAATGTAAGAAATTGTGATCACAGGGACATTTCAACAGCTGAAACTACAAGGATCCATCATATGTACCATTCATTCAGTGCCATCATAACTTTGAACAGTTGTTGAACAAATGCTTGTGTTCCAAGGACTATCTGTATCTACCTTTGTGTCCAGGTTTTCTACATTGATCATGTATCATTTTATTTACTGACTTGCCAACTATGGTAATTTTTAGATGCCTCTACACAGAAATGATTCTGTGTCACACTCAGATTTTATGTTGTATACCAACTATTTAGTCATTATTACATATATAAATAGAGAGACGCGGTGACTCTCTATGGCTAAGATGCCGAGTTTGTCGATCAGAAATGTCGGCAGTTTAAATCTCTAGAGNCTATCAAAGCAGCAAGGCTTGTGCTTATTGGTAATTGTCTATTGCATTGTCTGCGATGCTTCTAGATCCCAATCTCCACATTTTAATTTGTAATGACTATACTTCAATCATTGAAGAGAAAGGCGTCCTTCCCCTTCCGCCCCTCTAAGAGATGCATTTATTTTTTCTTTCATTGCAGATGTAGGAATGAGGGTCGGAGCAGACTATCAAGCTCGCATCCCTGACTTTGATCCTGGTAAATATATAGATATATATTTAAAATATATTTGTAACTTGATATCTCTGATGTTTTAAAAAATGGGAGTTTATTGCATGTGTTTATTATAATGAGAATGTAATTGAATTCTGCTGAATATTATGTGAGAGTGAAAGGAGGAGAGTTGCTTTTGTGAAGGTTAAAGGTGTAGGATTTTCTTTGGCACCCCTCCCCCAAGGCTTTGTGCAGCTTGTTCGTGGTCACTGAAGGTTTGCAGAGCCAGCTTTTGATGTTTGGAAGTTGAAATAAGCAGGCCTTATGTATGGAGAATGTGGCTCTTGTCTTCTAAGTAAGAAAGGAAGGATTTTAAATTTTCAAAAACTTACCTGTCTTACATCTACAGTAGTTTGAAAAGATTACTTTATTCCAAGAATATTGAAAACCATGCTTCCTTGATTTTCCAATATTTAAAAGTGGAGAGTAATGAAGTTTTCAATGTAATAAGCAATGCTTCTGTTCACCATGTGATGGAATAGACAAACTTGCACTTCTTGATACTGACTTAACTCAGTCTTAATTTGCATGTACTATATTAGCAGGAAATCACTATTATCCAAACATACTCTTTATCTCTAGCCATATGTACAAGGAAGCACTAATAACTCTTCTGTAAAGCTGGACAATCTTTGTCAGTTGATTACTGCTGCCAATAATTGTGCCCTTTTCTTGAAATTATTATTTCATTCTAGGGTGACTCTGAATCTTTTGTTTTAAAGAAGCAAACTCATTTTCTTTTTTAGAAATATTTTACTATTGCTATTAAAATCTTATCAATTATAAATGCTTCATTTTATAGTAGAAAACTGTTTTCAACAATAAAAGGATTCAGGTTTAGTTTTGTTGTACCTGCCATATATAATGTTGGCTTTTGTTTCGATTCATCATATTTTAAAATATTGCCAGAGGTTGATAGAATTTGTGACTGGATTCTTGATTTTAANTACAGATAGCCCTCAATTTACAACCAGTGATTTAGTGACCATTCAGTTATGACAGACCGTCCTATGACTACTTATGACCCAAATTCAAAGTTCTGATGGGTCCTCCCCCCAATCATTTGACTGTATTTTAGGCGCTCAGCAATCAGCCCATATTTATGCTGTTTGCACCATTCTCTTGTGGTCAACATTTACTTCAAATTTCTGGTAAAAACACCCATAGTGAATTCACTTAACAACCACCTCAAAAAAGATCGTAAAATCAGATGAACTCAGGTGAAAACTTGCTTAATGACTGGCATGACTAATTGCATCCATAATTACCTGTACACTACTTGTACATTGCAAGCCAATTAATTGTTCCCTTATCTCTTTTAACTAGGAATATATGCAGTGAAAAGTCGTAGTAAAATTTAAATCATGACAACAGATAGAATAACTGGCCTTAGAGCCATGGTGGCACAGTGGTCAGAATGCAGTATTGCAGTATTGCAGTTTAATTCTGCTGACTGCTAGCAATTCGATTCTCACTGGCTCAAGGTTGACTCAGCCTTCCATCCTTCTGAAGTGGGTAAAATGAGGATCCAGGGAGCAATATGCTGACTCTGTAAACCAATTAGAGATAGCTGTAAAGGACTGTGAAGTGGTATATAAATCTAAGTGGTACTGCTGTTGCTGTTGCTTAGTGTTGACAGTGAAGATATTGAAGTGATGGATAGCATCTGTCTTTGCTGTTCAAACAACAGTCAAGAAATATGAGTAGAGTTTGTTAGAGAAGTGGAAAAAAGAAACAGAGATGACGAACAGTAAGGTATATAGACTCAGTTAAATTGGCAATGGGCATACCTGAAGACCTAAAAACAGGTTAGGGACAAATCATCATAGAAAACAAAACTAAGCGTTTACATTTATCTGATGGTACAAACTAACAAATTATACATATTTAGGATTTTAATTGCACTAAAATAAAAATCATAAATTGTAATTGTATTGTCTAACTAGGATAGTCAGATTTTCATTGTTAATAACAGCCTGTCTCAGGAAAAAAAGAATATCAAAGCATTATTTTATTACTACTAAGAATGTGACTGTATGTGACTTCAACCATTGTTTCACAGTTCCACATGATGATAGCATCCCTTTATTATTCATTCCTTTTTTTCTTCTAATTTTATTCATTATATCTTGATTACTTTACATAACAAGTCCTTCACATATTTAAAGGACTGTTGGATGTCATAAACTGAAGGATTTAGGAGCTCTGTATCAGTGGTGGGTTTCTATTATTTTTATTACCAGTTTGCTTATGGATGGGGTCGTGCGCAGAAGCACCCGGGTGGGTAGGTGGAGCCTCCCGCCACCACCACTACTGGTTTGCCCGATTCAGGCCGAACCAGCAGCAACCCATCTCTGCTCTGTATATGTGTTTATTAAATATGCAGGAAATTTATATACATATGTCATGGTAACAGAAAATGCTACTTCATGCATATTCAAAAGCTTAAAGTGGTTATAGAATGCAGCGGTGTGACTAGTAAATGGCATTAGATACTTTCATCACTGCTTTCCATGTATTTCTAGGTGCAGTTCAAGATGCTGATTGTCACCTTTAAAGCCCTTCATGGCTTGGGGCCAGGTCACCCAAGTAACAGTCTTCTCTTAATTATTTCTACCCATCTAATACAATATAGCAGATGCAGATCAGTGGTGGATTGCTCTTACCTTTGCTACTGGTACGCTGCTCATGGTCCGTTCATGCATGCACTGGACGTGCACTGTGCACGCGCCCAACATGTGCTGTGCATGCATGTGTACTCCACTGCTCCTACAACATCCAGCTGCTCAATTGACCTGGTTGCCTTAAAAACAGGTATGGAACTCGGGCCGGCAGGTGGGCCAAACAAGCTTCTGTACCAGTACGATGGCCGTTGCTCCCAACTACTACTGGTACCACCACTGCTCCAGATCCAGCCAGCCAAGAAATATCCACTGGCAGGCACTAGGAGACATGCCTTTTCTACTGCAGGGCCTGCCTTCGGGAACATTCTCTCTCCAGACGTTATGATGACTTCAATCCTGTTGATCTTTTGTAAAGCGTTGACGACCTGGTTATGGGCCTGGACCTGGAGTCACAAGTGTGTTAAGAGTTTGCTTCCTGGTTAAATTATCTTATATGGATTATAATTGTTCTTGGCTACTGTAGATATTTCTTGTATTCTGTTCACAATTGGTTTTAGATGATTTTATGATTGTTCGCCCTCCAGAGTCACTTATTTGAGGTGAACAGCCACAGAAATTGAATAAATAAATAAATGTATTCAAATAAAAGTCATGAAACCAAATAAGATTCTTTTTCTATGCAAGATTGCACTTGTATAGATTACACTACAAAAAAATACTGATCATGACAATGTAAGAATTTCAGGATAAGTTTATTTTTACTTTTGTGATGCACACTTGGAAAAAAGAATCATTTGATGCACATAAAAAATAGGAGTAATTGTAATTACAGTGTTGCAGCCACCATCTTGAGTTTGTCAACTACTACTTGTGGGCACTCTTGATTGTTTCACCATGATGAAACAAATGAGCTACAAAATATAATTAGAAGACGAAATTGGTTGGAAAGCCCTAGAAATAGTTCTTAGAATCTTAGATGCCATTTCCTTGGTCCTCTCTTGCTATTTTTCTCATTTTGGTATTCATGCAATGTACTGCATATAAAATAAGGGTGGAGCTTGTACCACTATGCCATGACATTGCTTGCCTTTCTCTGACCATCTTGCATGTGGCTATTCCTGCAAATGAAACATAACTTCTAAGCTTGGAAATGTAACAATAGAGATTGTAAGGTCCTTGACTTGCGACCAGCCACAAGTCCTCGACTTACGACTGACAGCCCAGTGACCAAAGGCTCGCTGCTCTTAGCTAAGACACGACGGGCTGGAAGCAGGCTTTTTACTCTGTTTCTATTGGCTGCTCTGCTTGACAGCTCCCGTATAAATAGCTGTCAAGCAGAGCAAGGTGCTGAAGTTGTTTGTAGTTACCTTGCTTGCTGTTCTGTTGCAATAAATGCTGTTCCTGTTGCCTCAGCTAGTCTGTCATCCTTCTGTTGCTCCAGACTTCAACGCTGGTGACAAAGGTGGGATTCTGAAGAAGCCCCTGCATAGCTAGAGAAGAAGAAGGAAAAAATTCTCATTTTCTCCTCAGCTTCTTGGGAGATGGCTACATGGCATTGCTTCCCCATTTTGCTCCCTTTGGTTCAACCACTGAATCATGGGCTGGTTTTTTGGAGTGATTCAAATGCTTCTTGATCACCAATAACTACCACCAGTTGCCTGAGGACTGAAAATGTGGTTTTTATCTCTGCTCTGCGGTCCTGACATGTTCATGACCGCTCAAGTTTTGGCCGCACCTATGGCGGTCCATGCCTTGTCGTGGGACACCCTTATTGCTAAACTTCAGAACCACTATGCTCCTACACTTTCCCACATTGCCCAGCACTACGCTTTCTGGCAATGCATCCAAAAAGACACTGAAACCATCAGCCAGTTCCTCGCGTCCCTCAGAACGGCAGCCACCCAGTGCAAATTTCCCTATGACTCCCTGCTTGAGCAGTTTGTGTGCGGGGTGCAAGCTATCCGCATCAAGCAGAGACTGCTGGCCTGCTCTGACATCAACTTGCAAATGGCCATGGATGAAGCTAGAGCCGCAGAGCTTTCCGACAGGTCCATGGCCGAAATACAAAAATGCCAGCAGTATATCTCGCCAATCACAAGAATCTTCCTAATCGATGAATTGGCCCCTCTAGATGACCTTGAGGAAGATCAAGTCAACCGCCTCAAGACACAGCCAAGTAGATGGTATCCTGCTCCTACCTCTTGCTGCAGAGGCGCCCATGCTCACACCGCCTGTCCCTTTAAAACTGCTATTTGCCGTCACTGCAGTAAGAAGGGACACCTTGCACACATCTGCTGCACCTCTCTTCCAGCACTGGCCCCAACTGACTACTGCCCTCTGGCTGCTTACCCTCAATGTCGCTCAAAGAAGAGAAGAGAAATAAAAATAATAAATGTTGTCCAGTGGTCAGGAAGAAAGGAACATTACCACACGTATAGCTATATCCATATGATAGAAACACTGACTCAAACCAGTGATAGTCAACCTGGTCCCTACCATCCACTAGTGGGCGTTCCAGCTTTCANAAAAAAAGTGGGTGGAAATGTCTGTGCATCTTATACAGCGAATGTTGTAGAAGCCCCACGGACTCGCCAGCCCCCACCCTTCAGCCTCTGCCTCCCAGCAATTTGCCTCCTTGCAGCAAACAGCAAACAGCCTGGTCAGCTTCACCACAGTCTGAACTAGCATGAGCAGCCGATTGACGGTTGGATCTGCCTCCCAGAATACTCCCTATCAGCTGCTCCAGGCTGTGGGGATCGCCACTGCCCATTGCAGCCATCGCCACCCATCGCTGCCATCGCACACCCCATTTTCAACCTCTGCATGTCCCATTTTTGGCCTCTGCGCACCCAATTTTTGGCCCCTTCTAGGTGGCTGCTACCCCACCATCTATCCCCACCTGGAAGGGGCGAAAAATGGGACACACAGAGAACCAAAAACAGGACACACGGAAACCAAAAATGGGACACACATAGGTGACAATAGGCAGCAGCATTGATGGACAGCGACAGTGGCAATGGGCAGATGCAATCCCCGCAACCTGGAACAGCTGATAAGAGTATTCCGGGCAGCAGATCCAACCACCAATCAGCTGCTCGTGCTAAATTAGGCTATGCTGAAGCTGACAAGGCTGTTTGGTGTTTGCAGCAAGGAGGCAAATTGCTGGAAGGCAGAGGCAGATCGATCGTTGGTACTTACCTGAACCTCGATTCTAATGATGAGAGAAGGAGGTGCTACCAGTGGGCTATCATCAGTCCTGATTGATGCATAGACTGAGAGAAAATCGTTGCAGCCATGCCTCTACTCCTTCTGCCCAGTTTCCTCAAGGTCATGGGGAGTAAATGTCACAACAAGGAACAAACAACTCCTCCCCCCAAGCCGCTACCCTACTAGGATGGGAAGGTAGCACCTCCCTCTCTCACACTCTACAGCCAAAAGATGCTTCAGCTGACCCGTAAGCGTCCAATCTATACTGTTGAATAAATGAAGTTGGGGTCGCCCAAGAAGCTGCCCTACAGCTATCCTCAAATGGTGCTCTAGTTGCCCATGCCGCCGTGGTGGCCGCACTGCAAGTAGAATGTGCAGTGATTCCGTGAGGGGGACTCTTGCCTTTAGCTTCAAAAGGCAAGGAAATCGCTTTCCTCAACCACCTACCTATCATGTTAGATGTCACCCTTGCACCTTGTCTGGACGGTTGGAAGGACACCAGAAGAGCTTCTGATTTACGGAACAAGGCCATTCGCTTAAGATAAATTCTCAGTGCCCTAAGGACATCAAGCCTGTGCCAGAGTCACTTCCTAGAGTGAGACTGAGCTGGACAAAAATTGGGCAACACTATCTCTTGTGCCCTATGGAACGGAGTATTAAGTTTCGGCAGAAAGGCAGGGTCTTAAGGTTACTCTATCCTGGTGGAAAATGCATAGATCGTTACGAGAAAACAGAGCCCCAATCTCTGAGATGCGTCTAGCCAAAGTTATAGCAATTAAAAAAGTTACTTTGAGAGTTAGAAGTTGAAGAGATATCGAGCGAATCGGCTCAAAAGGAGGTTCTGTCATAGCCTGTAAAACTAAAGGTAAGTCCCACATGGAGAATCTATGTACTACAGGAGAGGCAATATTGGCAGCTCCTCTTAAGAACCTCCTAACTAAAGGAAGATGAGATAGGGGAACCTGATCTTCGCCTGGCAAAATGGTGGAAAGTTGCGCCGTTTGTGACGTAAGGTGTTGTATGCTAGACTCTTGTCTAACCCATCTTGTAAGAAGTCTAAAACTTGAGGCACCGACGCGTCCTCTGCTCTAATAGACGCCGCTTCACACCACTTTACAAATGCCGACCACATAGCGTTATATATTCTAGTAGTTGAAGGTCGTCTGGCTGCTTCTAAGGTGGAAAAAACCTTAGCAGACACTTGTGCCTACTCAAAATGTCCCTTTCAAGTGCCAAGTGGTTAATTTGAGCCATTGAGGCTCTGGATGAATTAACATCCCCTGGCACAAGGAAATCTCCTCCCTGGGAATTCTCCAAGGCGGAGACACTGACAGTTGGACCAAGTCCACATACCACGGCCTCCCAGGCCAGTCCGGCCCTAATAGAATTATATCCACCCCCTCTGAGACTATCTTCCTGGTGGTCCATTGAAGAAGGGGGAGGGGAGGGAAGGCGTAGAGAAGGCCTGACAGCCATCGGCATCTCAGAGCATCCGTGTCCTCGGCTCCTCGAGTCCAATAACTGGTCACAAATCTCAGCAGTTGAGAGTTCGCTGGAGTTGCAAACAGATCGACCACTGGAGTCCTGAATCTGTGGCAAATATCCTGAAATATGTCTGTGTAAAGCTGCCACTCCCCGTGGTCTACTGTAGTTCGACTGAGCCAGCCCGCCTGGTGATTGGCAGTCCCGGAAATGTGATCCGCTACTATCAATATCACATGAGCCTCCGCCCACGAGATCAGTCTGTGTGCCTCTGTCCACAGAGCCCTGGAATGAGTCCCACCTTGCCTGTTCACGTGCCTTCATGGCGATGTTGTCAGTGAGAAGTAACAAGTGTTTATGATGCAAGTCATGCTGGAAATGCCGGAGAGTGAGATGTGCCGCCTTGAGCTCTAGAAGTTGTGATGCAAATCTGTCTTTGGCCAACGGCCTTGCGTCATCTTTGAGCCCATCAACAATCCCCAGCCAAAGAAACTTGCATCCGTAGTCACGGTTACTCTCTGTGGCTCTCTGAACTGCGACCCCCGGTTGAGCGCCACTGACAGCCACCACCGGAGCGACAGACGGACCTGCAGAGACACTGGAATGGCCAAAGGTGAGTTGCTCATCATTTCTCTCTGATATGGGATCAAGGCCCATTGTAATGGCCTGGCGTGAAAACGTGCCCAGGGAACTATCCCTATGCAAGAGATCATTGTCCCCAAAAGACGTGAGAGATCCACTATCGGGACCACCCTCCTGACCTGGGTTTCCAGAACTAATTGTTGCAATTTGGATTTACATTCTTGGGACAGGAAGACCACCCCTGCCTTGGAGTCAATTATTGCTCCCAGGTGCAGCAACCTCGTTGTGGGAGTTAGATAACGTTTATCAAAATTAACGGAGAATTCGACCCATTGGAGGGTCTTGATTGGACTGTCTGCTCCTAAGTATCAGTCTGAACCAAAACATCATCAAGGTAAAGTTGTAATTGCACAGGAATGGACCTAAGGAAAGCTGCGACAGCCACAGGTAATGTCCTATACTGATAATGAACCCCCTCTTTAGCGAACCTAAGATATTTGCGGTGGGAAGGTAAGATAGGGATATTAAGTATGCTTCAGTGAGATCTATGGGGGCCATAAAGTCACTCTTTCTAACACATTGTAATATGGAGGCCAATGACGCCATTTTAAACCGGCGGTATACAATGAATCTGTTCAGATGTTTCAGATCCAGGATCGCTCTCCACTCCCCCCCAGAACTCTTTGGCATTATGAAAAGGTTAGAGTAAAATCCCAACCCCTGTTCCTCCAATGGAACCGGCTCTATCGCTCTAATTTCCAATAAGTGTTGAATTGCGAGCTTAACCAGCTCAGACCTAGCTGGGTTCTGGGACAAAGGAAAGGACCTGAAGTAATTCAGGGGAGAAGAGAGGAATTCTAGTCTGAGGCACTGTTGGATAGAAGAGAGGACCCAGACATCTGACATTATACATTCCCATTGTGACGCAAAATGATGCAGGCAGCCGCCTATGGGAAGTGTGGGATTCGATTCACTTCCCTCTGCGGAAGGGATGACCGCTGCCCCCTCGAAAGGGCCGTTTAGCCTGACCCTGACCTCTATTCCTGTCCTGGAAGAAATTCCTGGACTGGAATCTGTCCCCCCTGGGGCCCCAATATCTGTTCTGCTGAAAGTCAGGTTCAGAGAGCTGGTAGAATTATTGTCTGTGATATGGAGCTGGGCGGGACTCCTGGCGCTTAGCTGTAGATGGGAGGACTTTCTTTTTCTTCTTGTTTTCCACCAAAATGAGATCCAAGGATTCCCCCAAAGAGCTTTTCGCCTGCATATGGAGCTGATGTCACATGAAACTTATTATCAACCTGCCAGTTCTTTAACCATAGGAGGCATCTTGAGGCTACAGAGGCAGACAAAGCTTGAGAGGCAAATTTAACTGAATCAAGAGTGGCATCAGCGGAATATTGGGTCGCCGCAATGATCTTGCTAAGATCTTTCATTGTGCGGGCGTCCTCTGGGGGTGTGCGCTCCTGCAATTGTTGTAGCCACAATAGAGTTGTTCTATTGAAAAAGGCAGCAACGGCAGCTGCGTTAATAGCCCAAGTTGAAGCCTGAAAACCCTTTCTAAGGAAAAGTTCCACTTTCTTATCCTCAGGCTTCAGCTTGTCTGCAACATCTCTTGCAACTACAGCTGCTGAAGAAGACAGAGCGGCAACAGGGGTGTCAACCGCAGGCACCTGGAGGGCCTGAGAGAAGGTTTGCTCCATATTGTAAAGCTTCCTGCATTTACCCCAGGGTTTGGGAAAGTGCCAGGTTGGCCCCACTGACTCTTGACCACTTCTAGAAATAGAGGTGGGGCAGGCACCTCTTCTTTATCTAGGGCTTCCTTGGCAAACATAGTTTGTGTTAGGTCCTTACGGGAATCTGGAGCAGTTGCAGCAGTGCTGGCCCCCAATTTAGTTGTAGATTTCG